GCCCCGAATCCCCACGCTGGGGAAAGGGGAGGTCTCCTGGGGAGAGGCAGGGAGGCGTCTGAACCCGCCACAGTCCCAAGAGGGCGGTTCCGGGAGCCGATCGCAGCCTCCCGGGGCTGCCCGGGTTCAGGGGGACCGCTCCCGCTGCCGCATTTCCCAGAGTCCCAGAGGGAAAGTGGGGACCGAGGGGAGGGTCCTCGCAGCCGGGAGGGAGGGCTCTGGGGCGAAGGGTCCGGCCCACTCCACTCCCCACCCTCAGAGTGGGAGGGCTGGGCACTCACCTGCGCGGGCCGCGGTTTCAGGGGACCGGGTCGTCCCTGGGCAGAGACTTTGTCAGCCCCGCCTCACCCGCGGCCTGCCCCCTCTCCACGCTGCTCCTTGTTTAAAACAAATCGCAGCTCTCCAGCGACCGTCAGTCACCGCACCCGCCCTCCCCCGGCTCCTCGGTTCTCTCCAGCAGAAGCGGGACCCTTAGCCCGCAGTGGAAAAGATTGAAAGGCGGGGAAGGGAATTCCCCCATCCTCCCACAGCCCGAGGACTGAGAAGCAGCCTCCCGTCCCGGAGGCCCCGAGCCAGGTAACTGGGGGCTGGGCCTAGGAAGAATTCACTGAAGGGGTTGGGTAGGAAATCCACAGTCTAGCAGCCCTCTCTCACCCCTCTCTTCTTAGGTTGCCGAGCCCGTCCTCCTCTTTTCCTGTCTACTCGGCCCCGGGGGTCCAAGCACTCTTGCCAGCCCTACAATTTATCCATTCCAGCCCAGAGTTACCTGAGGAATTCCCCGTCCTCCTAAGTACCACTTTCTTATCCCCCATGCCTCAGTCTCCCCCACTTCCCATTCCAGGCCCCAGGGTGGGGTTGGACTCCAGCCATTTCCCCCGAGGCCTGGTCCCAGGCTCAGTGAGGCCCTGGAGCAAGAAGTCATTCGGTGCCACTTTCCCGGCCCCCACTGGTCCTAAGCCCCAAGGCCCACTTCTCATCCAAGCTTGAGAGTGACAGCTAGGCCAGGTCTGGGAGCTCCCCTGACCCCGGGGGCAGGAGCACGGAGGAGGCCAGGGTCTAACTCTCCTTACTCAAACCCTCCTGCTCCGCTGCTCCCCAACCACTCTAGCTGGCAAACAGAAGATCAACCAGGAGAGCCACCGAGCCTCACCTGTAGAGCAGGGGCAGGAAGCTAGGGGTGACCTCTAGGAAAGTTAAGGCTTGGAGCTGCAGCCTTCTAGGATCGCAAACCTCTCCCCTCCTCTCCATCCAGGGGCAGACGGGGAGAAAGCAGAGGAAAAGGAAAACTTAGTCCTCCGGGAACTTTCCAGGGCTCCACCCTGAACCTTCCTTCCTCAGCCCCAGGGATCTGAACTGAAGCCCAGAGTCCAGGGGCCCTGGACAAGGTCTGGGAACCTGAATCTGTCAGCCCAGCTCCAGACACCTGACAGAGCACCCCCAGGGCAGGCTGGGCTCCATCGCAAGCCTTGGGCACCAGCCCCAGCAAGGAAAGGGACCTGGGACACATTTGCCTAGTGAAGAATGGGCCAGGTTGGTGTGCGAGAGAAGGGAGAAGACCTGAACGGTCCTATTACAGGCAGCTGAAGAGATGGAAATTGAGGTACAGTCAGAGAGGGACTGGGCCATCAAGGAAGGGGGCAGAAGAAATAAACATCAGAACTGTGGCTGGATTTGTGGAGGCGGATTTGAAGACCAACCTTCAAGATAAAGATGCAAGGACCAGGCCTACAGCCTCCCCAGGAGATAAGCAGGGACTGGAAATTACACTGTCTTTGGTACCATCTGGTCCAGTAAAGTCCAGGTGGAGTCAGTCACTGAGGTGGGTGACCAGAGCATCCGGAACCGTCCCTTCCCAAAAATGCCTGTTTTTTCCAGGTACCCCTGCTACGCGACCACATCTCTTTTGGATCAGTATTGGCTAAGCGGCTATACTTGTGATCTTGTTGATGGGTTAGTGTGACGCGTGTTGCACCCCCCTTGTGATTTTGTTCACATACACTGCTTGGACAAGTGGCTTCTGTGGCAGCCACTTTCAGGGCCCCTCCTATCCCTCAGGAGGGCTCTCTCTCAATCAGTCTTTCCTATCCTTATCTTCCGCTGTTCCTTAGAATTCATTCTTCAATTTTGGGAGACAAACTGAGTGCATGTGACACTTAGCAGGCTGGGAGTTATATTTTCCCTACATCACTGTCCCCGTCCCCACCCCCACCCCGGGGCACCCAGGAAAATCCCTAGCCCAACCCCAGCCATGGCAGCTCCCTGGGCTGGGAGTCAGACAGACCCTCCCGGCCCGGAACACCCGCTCTTCAGACTGGACCCCAGCAGGCAATTTGGGAAATGAAACTGAGCAACAGGAACAAACTTGGCCTGAACTTTGTCCAAAATTCTAAAGACAGAGTGGAGGAGGCGGAGAAAAGGCGACCCCGGCCCATTTCCCCGTAGCTCCCCAGGGAAGGGAGGGTCATAGGGACATATAAAGAGGCCTTTGAGGGCTTTCAAAGAGGCTCCTGCCACCCCTGAGGCGGCAGAGGTGGGGCTGGGGGAGCAGATTCCCTCGCTGACAGACAGAGGCCAGAGGGAGCGTCAGGGGCAGCCCCCGCCCCGGGCCAGTGTCAGGCGGCAATTCTATGGGCTCTTTATGTGGCCGGCGTCCCCACACCCCGTCCAGGCACATCAAACGGCTGCAGCCCCCACCCTGACCCTGGCTCGGGACCCTGCGTCCTCCCTCCACACTCACAAAGGCCGCGTTGCTTTCTCACAGGCTCCGGAGCACGGAGCACTGCTCCTCCACCCTTCTCAGGAGGGGGCGACAGGCTGGGGAGGCTGGCCTCCAGAGGCAATGACTCAGCCAAAGGGCTGGGATCACCCCCGCCAATGCTGCCCCACCCCTGCCAGGCATGGACGGACCCCCTGTCTCATCCCAAGCAGGGCTGTCCCAGGCCCTCTGGGCTGGGCAGACTTCAGCTTCTCAGGTGAGAGTCGGCCAACCAGCTTTCCCACTGCTCTGCCCTGTGCCTCAGCGCCCTTCAGGGAGGCCGGGTAGGAGCCCTGGGTCATCCCAGAGCATCCTGCCAGGAGGTCTGAACGCAGGCGCGTCCCCCCAAGCTGGAAGCCACAATCCTCCATCCTTATGGGCGCCTGTTAGGGTGGCTGGGCTGCTCGGAATTCCTACCAGGCACCTGCCTGCCGGGTGGGGGGGGGCCAGCAGGAGACACACAGGCTTGGGGCCTCCCGCCCACTGCTCCTTCACTCCTGGGGCCCAAATATTTCCAAAACAGTGGGTCTTTGCTTTACCCACTCCCACCCAGGGAAACCGCAGCCGTGACCTGCACATGCATCTGAGCCCCAACACCGCACAGGGCTCCCGTGACAGGGAGGACGCAGCTCCTAGCGACCTCCGAGGAAAGAACGAGGGCCATGTAGGGGAGCAGGGGCCCCAGCCTCAGCCCCCACCCCAAGACTTGCTCCCTAGCTCTGGCCTCCCCCCGGCCTGGAGGCTGGGGATTTAGAGTTCACCCCGCTGAGCGGCCTTTTCTTCCCTGGGACTGGAAGCCTTCTGCTTAGCAGCTTGTCAGAGAGAGTGAGGGGCTGCAGGCCGGGACACAAAGGGGGATTAGGGAGAAACCTCTCGGCCCGCAGAGTAATCCATCAAACTCTCTCCCGGCTGCCAGCACCAGCCCCTTCCCACTCAATTCCCCTTCCAGCTGCTGCTGGCCCCCACCCCCTCTGGCTCCTGAGCCCTGTCACATCGGGCAGCAAAGAGGATCTCAGGCGGGTGGGGGGTGCCGAGGGGGCGCACCATAGACACTGGGAAAAGGGCAACGGTTCCCTCCCCCCACTCACCCCCAATGTGTGAAAACCCAACAGGTGGCAGTGGCTCGGAGGGAAGTTGCTTTTGTTGCCCTGTCGGAGAGCCGGGTCCCGCTTCTTCGGAAAGGAGGCAGGAGACAAACGCCGGCGAGCCTGGGGGAGGGGAAGGCAGGGCCGGGCCACAGCCGCAGGCACCGTGTCTCCCTCCCCTCCCGTCTGGGGAAGGGGCTCGGCTGGCCTGACCCTCACCTTGGCCACAGTCCCGGCCAGTCCAAGCTGAGGCCAGACACCCCTGCAAGTCACCTGGCCGTCCCACGGCGACAGTCAATACGGACATTCCCGTTGCAGGCACCTGAGCTCCCCAAACAGATGTGGTTTCGTAAACAGTAAACAGCGGCCACCCCAGGTCACCAAGAGGAGCAGCCGCCTTCCAGCCCAGCGCCTGCGGCTGAGCCCAGGCAGATTCCAGAGTCACCCAGGTCCGGGAGTCGCCTGGACTCGGTCTGCCTGCCGGCTCCACCACTTGTGGCCACACTCATGACCTTGCTACTTGACCTCCCAAGCCTCAGTTTCCTCCTATACAATTAATGACAGCAGATGACATTGACACTTACTATGTGCTGCCAGGAACTCTTCCAAGTGTTTAATCTTCCAACCACCGGATGAGGTGGGTGTGATTAACCCAGGCAAGGAAACTTCAGTTAAGACCACTGACCTCTGGGGGGGGATGTAGCTCAGGCGTAGAGCGCTTACCTGGCATGACAACGTCCTGGGTTCCATCCCCAGCACAACAAAAACCAACAAAGATTCCACGCCAACTTCACAGGCACAAGTAAGGGTGGTGTGAAGGTTCCCAGGAGGGGGCTCTCTCCTCTCCAAATATAGTGGTCCAGAAGACCAACTCTACCTTTTTTCTCTGCTCCTAGTCCCCTGGCGCCCGTGTCCGTGCACCCGCACACGCTGCCAGTTCAGCCCTGGTTGTAAGAGGAATTGCCAAGGCCTCCCCAGGTGCTGGCCCCAACAGGTGAGGAGACATCACTGCCACAGACCTGCCAGAAGAGGTGGGGGGACAGACCCCCCAGGAATGAGACAGGGTGGCTCCCATCCACAGGGACAATGACATAGAGTGACTGCCCAAGAGGCGTCTGGCACATGCGAGGAGCTCACTGCTTTCTAATAATCCACACAATGACACTGCCCCTCACCATAGACATGAAACATTTCTTTTTCACAAGGATGACAATTCTGTCCCAGGGAACTTAATTAGCCTGCCCAAGGGCGCACAAATAAAAACAGAAAGTTTGGAACCATCTGAAAATTCTGGAAAGCACTTTGAGCCGGGAGCCAGGAGAGTGTAGTCACGCCTCGGCAACAACTAGAGCTGTGTGTCACCTCTTTGGACTGAGTCTCCACCCATGTAAAATGAGAACTAGTCTAGATAATGGCTAGGGTTCCTTGGGTGGCACAGGTGCCCGCTGAGAGCTCGGGGCCAAGGCCTGGAGGCAGTAGGGAGGGGTTTCCGGCCTCCGACCAGTGAGGGACAAGTGGAACCTGGGGGAGAAGGGCTCCCAGCCACACCTACCCCATACAATGGAGTGCCAAGGGTCACCTGAAACCGAGCCAGCAAGCAGGGCGTCTGGGGACAGAGCTGCCCTCTCCCCTACTCCTCTGAGTTGGGCTCTGCTCCTGAAAAAATCAGTAACTAAATTCTTTCTCTCCTTGGGTCACAATGAATTCAGAGTATCAAGAAACCCTGTGTTTTGAGGCAGGGGAAGAAGTCCACGAAGGGGGAAAGGCGAGCTGGGTTCAGCCTCCAGGAACTGGGCAGCTCTCTTCCCCTCCACAGCCCCTGCAAAGTGAAACCTGAGTGGCCTGGCCTCCCTCCTGGTAAACTTGACCCTTTGCCAGTCAGCAGGCCAGACTGGGCAGCTCTCCCCACCCATGCACAGCCAGCCTCGGTCCTCTCCCTCTCTCAGGAGGTAAGGTACACAGGAAAGATGCCAAAGGCCTGTGCATGTGGGGCAAACCCGCAGCCCAGCAGTGCCCAGGGTGCAGGGTCAGACTGGCTGCCCACCTCAGGACTGCAGATGGGATGGCCTCTGGGGTTATCAGCCCTGACATCCTCCAGTGTGTGGCCAGTCTCATCTCTAATCTAACCAGTCAGTCAGATTGGAAAGTGTCACTCAAAAAAAGGGTCACTTTCTGGTGAGCAAGGTTAGAGTAGACCCCACAGAGACTCTGTTAAGGAGGCTGAGCGGGCCCACCCCAGGAAGAAGCAACTCAGTATGCAACCCAGCCTTGACGAAGGAATACCCAAGAGGACCGAAAGCCACCCACCTGCTCTTACTGAGCACCCATTACATGCAAGCCTATGCAGATGCTGGTGATGCAGAAATAATGGGTCACACACAGCTCCTGCTAGCAGAAGAGAGGGCGTGCAATACATGCAGTCAGTGTGCAGGGAGGTGAGGGAGGTGCTCGGCCTCACATCCACAGAGTGGGGGCTCGAGTGGGGACACAGGTCAGGACTTCCTAGAGGTGTTGCTGAGTCCTGAGCGATAGGCAGGTAAGAGGAGTCAGAAGGGCTGACAGTCTATAAAACTAGCCCTGGAGGCTGGGCTTTCCAAAGTCACCTACCACTCCCATGGGCCCCTCCCTGCCAGGTGAGCCGGAAGAATAGGGGACCCAGAACCATGGGTCTGGGTTCTGATCGCAGATCTGGCCCAGCTACCGTGTGCTGGATAAATCCCCATGCCTTCCTTGAACCCAGGGTGGGCGATTCAACCACTGGACTGGGTTTTGCTTCCTAAGTGGCCACGTGCCCTGGTTACTTTCCCATCCTGAACGGCCTCTGCCTTGCGTCCGAGTCCAGCTCAAGTCCTGCACCTCTTCTAGGGCTTCGTGAACCCAAGCAGTCAAGTACATATCCCTTTCTTCTCCAAGTCTCTACTGCATGAGCCATGAACCTCCAGGTCTGGATACTGCACATGGTCTTCCGGTCTCTGGTTTGTAGTCCGTCCTGACCACCTTCTCCCTGACTAGCCCTTTGGCTCCTGGACAGCAGAACACACAGGCTTTGCCCAGGCCCAAGGAGGTGGGGTACTCGCAGCAGACTTATGGGTGGGGCCGAACTGGCCACTGAGTTCGGAGCACAGACAAGACCACACTCGAGGTCTGGTCCTCAGCTCTCTCTGAGCAACAGAAGCCAGAGAGGGAGTCTACATTGCCACATCCCTAGGGACGGCCCAGGGGCTGCTGGTTTTGGACACTGTTTGCCAGCTCAAAGTACACTTGTGATTAGAGGACTTGAAGGGTAGAGGGCTGACAGTATGCACACTGGGGAGAGAGGAGCATCTGCTGTGGGCAGCTGCTCCCAAGGGCATCCGATTTGGCTGGGCGACCTGTTTTGTTTGGGCTGATCTGATGACTGGGGACTGGAACCAAGAAATGGCTTGCAACCCTCTTCTGGTTGGCTTGTCCCAGACCCCCAGAGAGGGTGACCTCCAGAAGTAACAAAGAAGGGAAGGGCAGCAAGCAACCAAAGTGCCTGTCTGTGCAGGAACTCTGATAAATATATATATCCCATTTGACAACATAACCTTTCCAGGTGAGCCGTGTGTCCATTTCACAGATGAAGAAACCAAAGCAACAAGCGGGTAAGTCTACCTCAAATCCAGAAGCCCCATGGTCATTCAGGGCCAGTGGCAAACTGTGGACTTCTCCCATGGGAGAGGAAACACAGATCACGTAGTAGAAGAGGGGATTAAATAGGAAGTTCTGGCCAGGGATCAGGACCACCCCGTCATGGCTCTGTCACCAGTGCCTGCCCCCACGCAGGGACACATAATATACTGGACAACACTCAACACTCCAGCTCTTGCTGGGAGTCAAGTGGCATCAGTGTTTGAGACACCAGGCCTGGTACCAACTGATCTGGTCTTCACCCTTGCTGTCCAGCCACTGGGACACTGAATGGCCAAAGAAAGGGAAACTGGGCTTTTCTGCCCGACCTTAAGAGCAACACAAAAGATCCCAAGGGCTGGAGCGGAAGGACAGAGTGACATTCCCACTTCAGGACACTCTCACTAAGGTTTCCCTAAAAATAACTCTGGAACCATTCCACACAGAAGATGCTTCACCTTTCAGGTGTAAATTTGCCTCCATCACCCCTCCCTATGCTCCTCCAACCTGCAGCGGCCACTCTTGGGAGGTGAGCAGAGGAGGAGGTTCCGAACTAACTACAAAACAAGACAGGCTACGTGGTAGTGACAGGGACAGGGGAGAATCAGACGTCCAGTACTGGGGTGTTCTTCACACCGGACCACAACTGCACTGTGGACGTTACTCACAGCTTATGTGTGGTTACGTGTGGTGCCACCCTTCACGAAGGAACTGGTTTCTCAGTTAAACCACAATGCCTGTCTCCTTTGTCACCAAGCAGCAGCAGCTGACATTTATCAAGCTCGTTTTACAAGCAGCTGCTCAGAGGTTTACCTACATCAGCTAACTTAATCCTTGAAATACTGTGAGGTAGGTACTATTTCCCTCCTTTTACAGAGAAAAAGTTGTAACAGAGAGGCCAAAGAACTTCCACAAGAGGAAGTGGGCTTTCAAGAAGTCGTCTAGAACAGACTATTTTTTAAGAGCAGGGTCCCAGAAGGCTGGGTGCCCCTGTGTGTTTAATCACAGCTGAGTGATATTGTTGAGTTACTAATGCCAGGCGTGGTGGCACACGCGTGGAACTCCTGCACCATGGAGGCCGCATCTGGGGACCACTTCAAGGTTGAAGGCGACCTGGGCTGCACAGTAAGTTCAAGGCCAGCCTTAATTACATACTGTCTCAAAAAAAAAAAACACCCTAAAAAAAACAAATAAAAAAAAATACAGTTAATGCTAGCTAACTTTTATTGAGCATGTACTACATTTCAGGCATATAGTTAAGTGTTCTTTATGAATTATTCAGTAAAGCTACAATTTTACTTTATTATGGTTATGTTTACAAATATTATTTATATTTATTATAATTTATTTAACAAATAAAGCTACACAGTAGGAACCATTATTATTATTATCATCATGGGTACTGCAGCTTGGAAGAGGCTGAGCAACCCGCCAAGCTGGTGGAACAGCCAACACAAAACCTATCTTCCTGACAGCCTGCATCTTCATCTGTAACACGGTTTCAGGTCCTAAGGGTCTTGACCATTGTTCTTCAAGTTAACCTCACCTCCCTGCCTTCCTGCCTTTTCTGTCCACACCCTGCCCAGACTGAGAGCTCCCTGAGGACCTGCACAGCACCCCTCCACCACCCAGGGCCTGGACAAGGCCGGGTGGACCACGCAGGCTCACTGACCACACGGTGAGCCAGAGAGCCAGGAACGGCAGGGGAATTTACTCCCTGCGTGCATGGGAAATCTGCCCGGCACACACGTACCAGACTGGGCCTGCATCTCCACAGCTGTACATTCACCCACAGCTGTATTTATATCTTCAGACTCATCCGGGCCCGGTGACTCAAGCTCCATTTTCTAGGCACTTTTAGAACAACAGAGTCCTGGCTCCAGGACAGGCATGGGAGGAGATAAGAGAGGAACGAGCGGATGGACTGTTCCAACTGCAGGACCTGTGACCTCAAACTGAGTCACATTTACTCCCTAGGACAGGGGTGGCAAACCTACGGCACCCGTGCCACAGCGGGCTGTTTGTATCATGGAAAACTGTAAAAGGTTCGCCATCACCGCCCTCCACCTCCATATGCCAGCCTGCCCCCCACACCTTGGGCAGGTGGGTCCACACCAAGGCTACCTGTGCTCTGAAAGATCTGCTGAGGACTTTAGGAAAGGGAACCCGAAGCCTCAGGGCTTTTCCCCACCCTGACCTAAGCTCCCAGGACCCCAGGAAGGGTCACTCTGGACCTGAGCTCTCGGCAGTGCCCAGCCGGACTCCGGGGAAGCAAGGCAAAAGCTGGGCTCTAACGGAGACTGGGCCTGGGTAGCAGCAGAAGGGCACGTCTGCGCCGGGTGTCCACCGTGCCAAACCCCTCCCCACCCCGCCTCTGGCCTCGGAGGAAAGAGGTAGCACCAGGGAAGGCCCCTGGCCAGGCAGTAAGGCTGAGTAGGTCAAGAAAGGGTGTCAGGAAGGTGGAGACCGATTCCGAGGTCAAGGGGAAGAGCAACTCCGCGGCTCCATGGCCTGAGGCGTTAGGAGACTCGGAAGGGGCAGCACTTGCAGGGTCCTGGGGACTGGAGCTGCGGGGGTGCCAGTTCAGCACCTCACACCTGTCTGCCGTCCAAGAGCCTGAGCTCCGGAGGCAGGGCTGTGCGCCCTCCGCAGAGGGGCAGGGGGCTGGGAAGGGGCCCAGGAACACACATTCCCCAGCGCCGACTCGGCCCAAGTCTCGCCCTACGACCACGTCCCTTTCCTTCCCCACGAGGGCTGGCGGCGCCCCTTCCCGGCTCCCC